GGTGGAGTTCCTGCTGGTGCTGAGGACCCGGGCGTTGGAGCTGCTGCTGGTGCTGAGGACCCTAGCGCTGGTGTCTCTGCTGCTTCTGGAGACGCTACGCGGCCGCGACCGTACTTCGTACCGCTCCTTCAGCAGGTTCTTGGTCAGGCTCCTCCTCCTCGTCCTCCTCCCTCCGTAGAGTGTCCTCCGCCTGTCCAGTCGCAGTCACAGTTACCGCCTGCCTCGCCTCTTCCTGGTCCCTCTCCCTACACTGGTCCCACAGGAGGTCTTGCAGAGCGTCGTGAGCCTGCGTCTCGTCCTGCGTCGCCTGTTCGTACTGCTCGCACTAGTCGTCGTGTCCCACGTGAGCGTCCTCCTCCTGTCCCTGGCACTCACTACATGACTCTGCGTCCCTCCACTGCTCCTCAGCGTGTCCCGCTGCCGTCTCCTCCTGCGTCCTCTCTGCCTACTCTTCCTGACCCGGAGTCTGACTCCCGTCGTGCTGCCAGTCCCACGGTCACCCGTCTTCTCGCCACTGTTGTCACTGACCCTACCTTTGAGTCCTCTGCTGCGTCTGCTCTGGTCGCTGAGTTGATAGACTTTGCTGCCCGGTGTCGTCTAGACTACGCCGCTAGCCTTGTTGCTGAGTCTGAGTCTGTCTGTCCTCCGTCCGTCGGGGGTGCGTGTGCTCTTAGCACGGACGTCCTTGAGGACAGACAGGAGGAGTTCCAGTGCTTTGCTACTGCTTTGCCCCACCTCGTGTCCATGCTAGTTGCCCCTGAGGGAGACCCGGATGCACCAGACATCCCGACCCCGCGCACTTACGCTGAGGCGATGGCGGGTCCCTACTCCTCTCAGTGGCAGACAGCCATGGACGCAGAGATGGCTTCCTGGAAGTCCACAGGCACTTACGTCGACGAGGTTCCCCCACCTGGGGCGAACATCGTCAGTGGCATGTGGATTTTCAGGGTGAAGCGGCCACCGGGTTCTCCTCCTGTCTTCAAGGCGCGCTACGTGGCTCGAGGCTTCAGTCAGCGAGAGGGAGTTGACTTCTTTCAGACCTTCTCCCCCACCCCGAAGATGACCACTCTTCGGGTGCTGCTGCACATAGCCGCTCAGCGCGACTACGAGCTTCACTCACTTGACTTCAGCACTGCTTTCTTGCAGGGCAGCCTGCACGAGGAGATCTGGCTGCGCCGCCCTCCTGGCTTCACTGGGTCGGTTCCTCCTGGTACCCAGTGGAGGCTCCAGCGGCCGGTCTACGGTCTCCGCCAGGCACCGCGTGAGTGGCACGACACACTGAGGACGACACTTGCGGCTCTTGGGTTCGCTCCCTCTACTGCTGACCCGTCACTGTTTCTACGCACAGACACCTCACTGCCGCCGTTCTACATCCTCGTGTACGTCGACGACTTGGTCTTTGCCACTGCTGACACTGCGGCACTCGCCCACGTGAAGTCGGAGCTGCAGAGGAGACACACGTGCACAGACCTGGGTGAACTGACAAGCTATCTTGGCTTGCGGATCACCCGGGACAGAGCACGGCGCACCATCACCTTGACTCAGTCACACATGGTGCAGCAGATCCTTCAGCGCTTCCGCTTCACGTACTCCTCGCCTCAGTCCACTCCTCTGCCTACCGGTCACTCGCTCTCAGCTCTGCCTTCGGATGAGTCCGTAGAGCCGAGTGGCCCGTATCCAGAGCTTGTGGGCTGCCTCATGTACCTGATGACCTGCACTCGACCTGACCTTGCATACCCTCTTAGCATCCTTGCACGCTATGTCGCTCCTGGCCGTCACAGGAAGGAGCACATGGATGCCGCTAAGAGGGTGTTGCGCTACTTGTGCAGTACGTCGGGCACTCACTCAGACCGAGTTGTACTTACTGGGCACTCAGACGCTTCTTGGGCGGACGACCAGGCTACTCAGCGGTCGTCTCAGGGTTACACCTTCAGCCTTGGCTCCGGCTCAGTTTCTTGGCGTTCTACACGCTCTTCTTCTGTTCTCAGCTCCAGTTGTGAGGCTGAGATCTACGCCACAGCCATGGCTGCCCAGGAGCTACGCTGGCTGACCTACCTGCTGACCGACTTGGGAGAGCGGCCTCGTTCTCCTCCAGTGCTGTACGTCGACAACCAGGCTGCCATTGCCTTGTGTGAGGAGCACAGACTGGAGCACAGAACGAAGCACATCGCCCTGCGGTACTTCCTTGCTCGAGAGCTGCAGCAGCGTGGTCAGCTTCGTCTGCGTTACGTGGCCACTGAGGCCAACCTTGCTGATGTGTTCACCAAGGCGCTTCAGCCTTGTGACCATCAGCGTTTCTGTACTCTTCTAGGCCTTGTGCCTGCTGGACCTCACTTACTTACTTCTTGACTCTGCTTGTACTGTGATCTTTATATATATGCCTGCATGTTTACACTTGCTAGGTTGTGATCACTGTATCTCTTGCTATATTATCAACCTGCATGTGAACTGGTCTTGTGACCACTTGCTTGTGCTCGGAATTTGTGTGGTATCCTTGAGATCCACCCTGAGCTTGTTTTGCTTTGCTTTGACTGGTCTTGTGACCCTCTGGTTGTCTCCCACTTCGCCTATGGGGGTGTGTCAAACATTGTATGTTTATATTGTGTAGGCTATAGTGGGTTTAGCCTTAGAGGGTACACAAACTTAGGGTTTCATACTTGTACCCACCTTCCTGCTAGTTCATCCATTCTCGTTCTATTCTAGATTCTAACACAGACTGGAGCACAGAACGAAGCACATCGCTCTGCGTTACTTCCTGGCTCGAGAGTTGCAGCAGCGAGGTCAGCTTCGGCTTGCTCACGTGCCCACTCGGGCCAACACTGCTGACATATTCACCAAGGCACTTCCGTCTGGTGATCATCGGCGTTTCTGTACTTTGCTAGGCCTTGTGCCTACGTTTCCACACTTGTTGTAGACTTGATTGTACTGTGATCTATATATATATGCATGCTTGCTTTTGCTAGGTAGTGATCACTGTACTGTTCTTGTCGCATATATCAGGCCCTCATATTGCAGGAATTTTACCCTGATTTTGGGTTTGAACACTGATTTTCAGGGTTTTTTTTTACCCCAAGGCTGATTGGAAAGTTAAAATTTTTATCCCTACACTGATTTTTCAGCTAGATTTCTTGTACCAAGCCTGAGATTTCAGCCAACTTTTACTAGCGGGCCCTGATTGAATCCCACTGTATTGAGGCATTTATGTTGGCGAAATTGCTAGATTCATTGAACCTGGAAAAAAATTCGTCGAGGAGATTCCACCGAAGCGAAATCCAATACTTGACATGTGTGCGATACAGAGTTTGAACCCGAAACTTCACGCTTCGCCAGCCCTCCTTCTAATGACTGAGCCAGTCCACGTTGAGCGGCAGGTACGTGTTACAGGAAATAAAAAAGTTTTTTCCTTTCATACAACACTGATTTTCCAGGGTTTTTTTTTCTAAGGGACCCTGATAGAAAGTTTTTTTCCAAGAACCAACACTGACCAGAAAGCGTGGCCCAAAACGAATCTGAGGCCCTGGCATATATATACCTCTGCATGTGAACTGGCCTTGTGGCCGTTTGCTTGTGCTTAGTGTGTGTGGTGACGTTGTGATCCACCCTGAGCTTGCTTTGCTTTTCTTGACTGGTCTTGCGATCTCTTGCTCTCCCCGACTTTGCCTATGGGGGTGTGTCAAACATATATGTATATGTTATATTTGTGGGTAGGCTGTAGTGGGGTAGATGTTATGGGGTATAACACTTTAGGGTTTCCTCTTTGTACCAATTTCTCTCGATAGTTCAAACCATCCTTGCCTAGCTTCTAACATTATAAGGATTTTTTTCGCCATTCCTTACCGCGACCGTCAACATCGCGTACAGCAGCAGCCGTTGTTCGCCCGTTACTGCTAACGGGGCTTCGCCAACTCCGTGTGCTCTGTTTCACCTAACCATGCACTGCTGGCCCGGCCGAGTCGGCCTACGCTTCGGGACTAGCCCGAACCTCGATGCCAGCCTAGCACTAGCTAGCTCGCGGTCGCCGTGTTACGGTTTGCATGTTTCGCATATAAGTATTCGCTCATTCCTTCGCTAATAAATTGTACTCGTTTGACACCTAGTGCAATCCTCGCTATCTCATTCAATTGCACCCGTAATAGTGTACATCATTATAATATGTAATGTATAGGTGAACTATAAGGTTCTACTCTGCGATTAAAGTGTTTCGTCAGTACAGCGGAGACCACGGAATCAGACCTTCCGCATTCTTCTCGCTTCATCTCCTGCGCCACCTGCGCGTTGACTTGGCTGACTGGAAATATTTTTCACGGATATCGCGGCGGAGCAGACCACACGTGACGTTACTGCAGGGAATGGTGGCGCCACGATGCACCTGGTTCTCCTGAAATTTGCGCTTACATCGACGGTCAATGATCTCCGTGCCCGGCGGAGCCGAGCAAGGCAATGTCAAATGTATCGTATCGGCAGCAAGAATGTGGGAAATGTTGCTCACGGGCATTCTATGAAGAAAATTCTCATATTCTCCTGGTTTCGCCAAACCAGAATTCCCCGTTTCGTAACATCGACGAATACATCGACCCGTGGTGTCCTTCCTTTCCGGCAAGTTACGAATCTCCTGCCAGGTAACCCGCAAAAAACGTGATCTATCTGGCCGTCGCTTCAGCAGCAATCTGGTTATTTTGGCAGCGAATTACACCCAGGTTTCGCGCACCGCGAAGCTGTTGAAGGCGTGATACCCAGGAAACATTTCGTAGAGGCGTAACACTTCTCAACCGATGTTGAGTTTTACGGAACCGTTCTGAAACAATCGTAACCTTCTCGAATGTGACCACCATTCGACACCCCGTGGCGCACCCCGTCAGCCGATAAATAGCACTCCATTGGTCCCCCAAAAAACCAACCACTCAGTTTGCCACTTCATCGAGTAGCAGCCAAATCCAAATTCGTCACTCCTCTCTCAAAGCCTTCGCCGGTTCACCAGCTCCAAAATTCAGTCTGCGATCATGGGGCTCCAGCACTACGCCGGCTTGGCGATTTGCCTCTTAGTCGTCACCGCAAGCGTCGGTAAGTGAGCCTCACATTTCAGCTAACAACAGCTTGATCTAGCATCCGTTTAACTCAAGAATGAAAATTATATGACGCTATTCACAATCTAATATTCTACGTGGTTCTTCCGTCTGCTGCGCAGCGACCACGACGGCGCAATCCCCGAAGGACAGCCCGTGCACGTTGCCCAAGCCCGACCAGGCTGAAGCTCTCGGGACTCTGACAGGTGAGAAGCTCTCAGAAACATTTACCCCGTAAGAAGTACTGCTGAGGATCTGACACTCTCGAAATTCCCGAATCCGGTTACGGCGAGGCGGGTCGCCAAGTCGCGCAGATGGCATGTCCTTAGAAAAGACGCCGTCGCAACCCTCTCATACCATCGCTAATAACGGGGCCGCAGATACTATCTCATACTGAAGAAACCCCCTCCCCTCCAATCTCCCTCCCTCCTCTTTCTCGCTCCATTCCTCCCCTCCCATTCTCTCCGACCAGAGATCCTTTCCGCGCCGCTGAACGGAACCGTAGGCGCGTGGACGGGCCAAGTCGGCGCCAGCGGGCAAGTCTGCCTCGCCGTCTACGAGTAAGTCTCCACGCACTCTCCCTGAGCGTTAGCTTATTTGCCCTTTTCACGGAAAACTTACTTTTCTTTCAGCTTCCCTCGTCAAATGATGCGACTCATATTCCACCTTTTCCATTCGCCCGTGCGAACCCTGACTGAATCCGTCAGGTCGAACGGAGACTACAACATTTTCTACAGCGTTCTCGCCTCCAGCCCCACCGCGGGCGAGCCGACCTTCGCCGGCATTGCGAAAGACGTGGGGCAGGAGAGAATCGTCGCCGTCTTCTTTTCCCCCCCAGGGACCGATGGCCCGTGGGTGGATCTGACTACTACTTCGTCGCTTCCCCAGAGCAGGAAGAGCCTGGGCGACGCATCCGCTTCCCCAACAACGTACACCTATGCCCTTAACGGAACGTGGCTTCAAGCGAGTACCCTGACCACGTTCCAAGGGGACACTTACAAGCAGCTGGTGGATTCGATTGTAGCGGGGCCAGAGGGGTACTGCACGGGGTTCGGGACGACTGCTGTCATGGGGGGAGCAGCCATGGGGCAGTTCCAGATTCAGCCCGTTGCCGTGAAAGCCTAAGGACAAAATGCGTATTTAGTACTGGTGGATTGGATGGTGATGTAGGTGATATGGAGGAAATGTATTACATATGTAAAGTACTTTCAGAATTTTGTGAAGCTTTTGAGCTTTGAGTGACTCTCATTGGGAGGGATGGCTTTTCCTCCCGTCTCCCTAACTCTTTTCCTTTAGTTGCCTTGAAATATTACGGAAAAAATGAGTGGTAAGTAGGAGAACTATATTCTTTAGAATGCCCAACCTAGTAGGCCACACACGGAAACGGACCCTAAACCCTATATCGCGCATACTTTGATAACCTCATGTAAGGAATTTTCTCGACATTCCTTACCGCGACCATCAACATCGTTTTCAGCAGCAGCCGTTGTTCACCCATTACTAATAACGAGGCTTCGCCAACTTCGCGCGCACTGTTTCACCAAACCATGCACCGCTGGCCCGGCCGAGTCGGCCTACGCTTCGGGACTAGCCCAAACTTCGATGCGAGCATAGCACTAGCTAGCTCGCACGCACCGCGTAACCGTTGCATGCCTTTGCACATAAGTATTTGCTCGTGTTAGAATCTAGCAGCAGGAATGAATGCACTAGCAGGATGCAGGAGTACAAGTAGTAAACCCTAATTTGGGTTGTACCCCATATGGGCTACCCCACTACAGCCTACACAATAAGCAGCATATATGTTTGACACACCCCCATAGGCAAAGTGGGGGAGAACAAGGGTCACACGACCAGTCAAGAGAAGCAAAGCAAGCTCAGGGTGGATCACAACGTCACCACACTCTCTGAGCACAAGCAAAGGGCCACAAGGCCAGTTCACATGCAGAGGTATATATATATGCAACAACAATAGAGCAGTGATCACTACCTAGCAAGAGCAAGCATGCAGAACATATATATATAGATCACAGTACAACCAAAGACTACAGCAAGTGTGGAAACGTAGGCACAAGGCCTAACAGGGTACAAAAGCGCTGATGATCACCAGACGGAAGTGCCTTGGTGAATATATCAGCAGTGTTGGCCCGAGTGGCCACGTGACGAAGACGAAGCTGGCCTCGCTGCTGCAACTCTCGAGCCAGGAAGTAACGCAGAGCGATGTGCTTCGTTCTGTGCTCCAGTCTGTGCTCCTCACACAAGGCAATGGCCGCCTTGTTGTCAACGTACAGAACTGGAGGAGAACGAGGCCGCTCACCCAAGTCAGTCAGCAGGTAGGTGAGCCAGCGTAGCTCCTGTGCAGCCATGGCGGTGGCGTAGATCTCAGCCTCACAACTGGAGCTGAGAACAGAAGACGAGCGTGTAGACCGCCAAGAAACAGAGCCAGAGCCAAGGCTGAAGGTGTAACCCTGTGACGACCGCTGTGTAGTCTGGTCGTCAACCCAAGACGCGTCTGAGTGCCCAGTGAGCACCACCTCACTCCGTCCTCCAAGCACTAGCCCCATGCCTGATGTACTGCACAAGTAACGCAGTACCCTCTTAGCAGCAGCCATGTGCTCAGGTCGGTGCCGACCAGGAGCCACGTAGCGAGCCAGGAGGCCAAGAGGGTACGCGAGGTCAGGACGAGTGCAAGTCATCAGGTACATGAGGCAGCCAACTAACTCTGGGTAAGGACCACTCGGCTCTACGGACTCATCCGAAGGTGGAGCTGAGAGCGAGTGACCTGTAGCCAGAGGAGTGTGCTGTGGGGAGGACCAGGAGAAGCCGAAGCGCTGAAGGACCTGCTGCACCATGTGTGACTGAGTCAGGGTGATGGTGCGGCGTGCTCTGTCCCGGGTGATCTGCAAGCCAAGGTAGCTGCGCAGCTCACCCAGGTCTGTGCACGTGTGTCTCTTCTGCAGCTCCGACTTCACCTGAGCGAGAGCCTCAGTGTCAGCAGTGGCAAAGACCAGGTCGTCGACGTACACGAGGATGTAGAACGGCGACAGCGAAGTGTCGGTGCGCAGAAACAGCGACGGGTCAGCAGTCGAAGGAGCGAACCCAAGAGCCGCAAGTGTAGTCCTCAGTGTGTCGTGCCACTCACGAGGTGCCTGGCAGAGACCGTAGACTGGCCGCCGGAGGCTCCACTGGGTACCAGGAGGGAAAGACCCAGTGAAGCCAGGTGGGCGGCGCAGCCAGATCTCTTCGTGCAGGCTGCCCTGTAAGAAGGCTGTGCTGAAGTCAAGAGAGTGAAGCTCGTAGTCATGCTGAGCGGCAACGTGCAGCAGTACCCGAAGAGTGGTCATCTTCGGGGTGGGGGAGAAGGTCTGGAAGAATTCAACTCCCTCTCGCTGACTGAAGCCTCGAGCAACGTAACGAGCCTTGAAGACAGGCGGAGAACCCGGCGGCCGCTTCACCCTGAAAATCCACATGCCATCGACGATGTTCGCCCCAGGAGGGGGAACCTCATCGACGTAAGTGCCTGTGGACTTCCAGGATGCCACCTCTGCGTCCATGGCTGTCTGCCACTGAGAGGAGTACTCACCCGCGATCGCCTCAGCGTAAGAGCGCGGGGTAGGGATGTCTGGTGCATCCGGGTCTCCCTCAGGGGCAAGCAGCATGGCCACGAGATGAGGCGCAGCGGCTGCAAGACACTCAAGGACATCCGTGCTAAGAGCACACTCACCCCCGATGGACGGAGGACAGACAGACTCAGACTCAGCAACAAGACTGGCAGCGAAGTCTAGACGACACGCAGCAGCAAAGTCAACAAGCTCAGCGACTAGGGCAGACGCAGCAGCAGACTCAAACGACGGGTCAGTGACAACAGTGGCTAGAAGACGCGTGACAGTAGGGTGCTCAGCACGAAACCGGTCAGACTCAGGATCCGCGACGTCAGGCAAAGAGGACGCAGGGGGAGACGGAAGAGGAGTACGCTCCGGAGGGGAGGACCGACGCAGGGCTACAAGGGGTGTGCCGGGAACAGCCAGCTGACGCTGACGAGGAACACGACGAACGGGACGACAAGGACGAACAGGCGAGACAGGACGCGACGCAGGCTCACGACGCTCAGCAAGACTACCTGTCTGCTCAGTGTAAGGAGAGGGAGCAGGCAGCGGTGAGCCAGGCTGTAACGGAAGACCAGTAGACGACGGGAGAGTAACAACCTGACGAAGAGCAGAGTCAGGCGGCGGCAGAGACGACGGAGACGGCGGAGCGAAGAACAGTCGTGTCGGCGCAGCTGCACCAGCACCAGCAGCTCCAGCACCTCCAGTAGCTCCAGCGTCTCCAGTCGCTCCAGCACCTCCAGCAGCTCCAGAAGCTCCAGCCGCAGAACCGGTACCTCCAGCGCCAGCACCTCCAGACTCAGCGTCACCAGTAGCAGCACCCCCAGAACCGGCACCCCCAGTCCCAGGGTCTCCAGCCGCAGTGTCCCCAGCAGCAGCACCCGCAGGCTCAGCACCTCCAGCCCCAGTAGCACCAGTACCCCCAGTACGAGTACCTCCGAGACCAGCACCACTCCCAGCTCCAGTGACGTCAGCAGAAGTACCTCCAGCAGCAGAGCCCCCAGCTCCAGAAGCGCGAGGCAGACGGCGACCGTACCAGTCGTGCAGCTGCTGTGAGGTGACAGGCACACGTGGACGAAGGCGGCCACTCCAAGGAGACCGCGCAACAGTAGACTCCGAACCCTCAGCGTCAGCACCGTCAGTCGCTCCAGAACCCCCAGCTCCAGCGCCACCAGCACCAGGACCTCCAGCAGCACCAGAACCTCCAGCGCCCGCACCCTCAGCAGCAGCAGAGCCTCCAGGAAAAACAGCTCCAGGAGCAGAGTCACCAGCTCCAGCAGCGCGGCCCTGACGGTCAAGGTACCACTCAACCCGCTGTAGGGAGGAGAGGGGGAGTCGACGACGAGAGGGCAGCGGCGAGGCACCAGCGGAGCGACTACGGAGACGGCCACTCCAGGGAGACTGCTCACCAGACGCCTCAGTACCCCCAGGCGCAGCACCCCCAGACTCAGTACTGCCAAGCTCAGCACCCCCAGACCCCTCACACTCAGGCTCAGCACCTCCAGGCTCCACACCCTCAAGCTCCGCACCCCCAGGCTCAGCACCCCTAGGCTCCGCACCCCCAGGCTCCGCACCCCCAGGCTCAGCACCCCCAGAAGTAGCACCCCGAGCAGGACCACCCTCAGCAGGACCTGAGTCACCAGTGACCTCAACCGGCGCAGACAAGGGAGGAGGGTCTACCTGAGACACACCTGAAGGAGCAGGACCTGGAGCGGGGAGGGGGTCTACCTGGGGAGCACCTGGAGCGAGGAAGAGCAGCGGGGGGGGAGCGGGGCAGTGCGGTAGGGGAAGAGACGGTAAAAGGGAACCGACTCGTCGAACGTGACGTCCTGAGACGCAAAGACACGGCGCGAGGTGGGGTGGTAAAACTGCCAACCAGGCGCGTCAGGGACAAAGCCAAGGAAGACACAGGGAACAGCGCGGGCGGAGAGCTTGTCCGCAGTGGTATCGCGGACAAAGGCACGAGCACCCCAGACCCGGAAACGCGACGCATCGCCAACCTTCCCCGTCCACAGCAGCGTGGGCGAGGTCTCCGGCAAGGAGACACGGGGCCAAAGGTTGAGCTGATGCGCGGCGTACCGGACCGCAAACGGCCACAGAAAATGGGGGGCAGCCGCATGGATCATGGAGGTACGAGCGACCTCCATGACTAAGCCAATGCGGCGCTCAGCAACCCCATTCTGCTGCGGAGAGGCCGGAAGCGTGAACGACTGGCGGATGCCGTGCTCCGCACAGTAGGCTGCCAAGAGGTCAGAGGTGAACTCACCACCTCTGTCGGAGTGCAGACGCAGAACAGGAAAGTCCCGCTGGAATCGGTCGCGGAGCTGGAGACGAGCAGCGCGGATCCAAGGGATCAAAACAGCAGGGACGTCCCCCTTGCTCTGCAAGGGGAAGACCGTGGTGTAGCGCGTGTAGTCGTCGACAACCAGCAGGAAGTACCGCTCGTGGCCCAGTCCACGGACGCGGGCTGGGCCCCACACGTCCAGGTGGAGAGTCTGCAGGGGAGCCTCTGTGGGAGGGAACGAGGAGTGAGGAGCGGCGCGCTGCCGCCCCTCGACGCAAGGAATGCAGGGCGGCGCAGGCGAGGGAGGGAGAGCAGGCAGAGACCGGAACTGGCCGACTAAGCGGCGTGAGTGTGGTGCAGTCGCGAAAGAAGGAGCGGGAAGCTCCTGAGTCAAGGGTGAAGGTGTGCAAGACCGCAGCAGGCGCAGTACCAGAAAGAGCAAACTCACCAGCACCTAGAGCAGCAGTCTCACCAGCACCTAGAGCAGGAGACGCACGAGCACCTAGAGCAGCAGCCTCACCAGTACCGAGAGCAGCAGGCGCTATACCAGGGTCAGGCGGGACGCACAGGTAACAGGCACGGTCAACACTAGTAGGCAATGCATACATGGCAGTGAGAATAGCATCATAGTCAAGTGCAAAGATATCTACCCTCTGTCCAAGCAGCTCCGGCCAGGCAGGGAGCTCAGCCTCGTCTCCAAACACGGTACGCCAGGCGTCGCTCAGACGGCCGAAGTAGCGGGACTGTGTGTGACCAAGCGTCCCGCAAGGCTGACCAGTCCTAACACCTGTGCGAATGACGTACGGGCAGCGAACGGTACGCGTAGACCTGCTACACTGAGTGTACCACTCCTGGAGCTGCCGGGGCGTAAGTGTCTCGCGAGGACGCCCCTGCAGCTGCAGCTGGCCACTGCCAGACGCCCCCAACTGACCAGCTCCAGGGCGACAGCTACGACGGCTACCTCGACAGCCCCAAACCCTATACCACTCATCAAGCTGCTGGGGCGTGAGAGACGCGCAGGAACGACGCTGGAGCTGCATCTGGCCACCTGCTAATAGCAGGAGTAGTAGCAGTAGCGCGGGCAGGGCAGGCGCGGCAGGCAGGCAGGCAAGCAGGCAGGCAGGCAGGCCGTGTCAAACATTGTATATGTTGTATTTGTGTAGCCTATAGGGGGGTCACAACATTAGGGTTTCATATTTGTACTCCCAATCCTTGCTAGTCCATCATTCCAGTCCGTTATTTCTGACATGGTTTCAGAGCAGGTCCTTCGCTAGGACCGTTCTTAGGGCCCACCGTTACCTACATACCTACCTACCTACCGTGCGCCTCGTGCGCCTACGCGCCCTCGTGCGCCTCCTACCTACCGCGCGCGCGCAGCCCGCCAGCCGCCCGCGCGCGACTCGACTTTTTTTTTTAGCGCGCGTATCCCGCTAGCCGCCCGCGCGCGGTCGATTTCGCTGCGCGCGCCCTGCTAGCGGCACGCGCGCGGCTGTTTTCTTTACGCGCGGCCCCGCACGCTGCCCGCGCGCTGCCTGTGCGCCTCGCTGACGCGCCCGCTGCTGCAGCCGCCCGTCGCCCGCTCGCGCACACCCCGCCGTGGCCCCGCAGGCCCGCAGCTCGCCGCCGCAGCTGCCGCACGCCCGTTGCCCGCAGCCGCCCGTCCGCCGACGCCGCTGCCGCCCGTGCACCGACGCCGCTGCCACCCGTGCGCTGCTGCCGCTGCTGCTTGCGCACCGCTCGCTGCTGCAGCCGCCCGTGCGCTGTCGGCGCTGCTGCCCGTGCGTATAAGCCCGTCGCCTGCTCGCGCACGCCCCGCTGCCCGCAGCCGCTCGTACGCCGCTGCTTCCGCTGCTGCTTACGCACTGCTGCCTCCCGAGCGCCGCCGCTGCCTGTGCGCCGCCGCTGCCCGTGCGCCGTCGCTGCTCCTACGCTGCCGCTGCCCGTGCACCGCCGTTCCCCGTGCGCCGCTGCCGCCCGTGCGCTTCTGCAGCCGCCGCCCGCGAGGCACTCGCTCTCACTGTTGTTTATTTTCTACCTACCGTGCACACTGCTGCCACTGCAGCTGCCACCAGTGCACCGTTGCAGCTCCTGCTGCCACGCTACCTACTACTGCCGCTCGTGTGCCACTACGGACAGTCGACCCCGCCCGCGCCTTGCCTAGCGGCCCCGCCGGCCCCGTTGACCCTCCGCACACCTTTCCAGCGGCCTGCTTCCTACTACTACTGTTACTACTGCTACTACTGCTACTGCTACTGTCGCTATGGCTAGTCCGCCAGTTCTAGCTTTCGATGCCGAGGGCCGTCCAGTGAAGTTCGAAACCTGGCTAGATGACCTGCACCTGTTCCTACAGCTCACTGCCAAGGAAGATATCTCACTGTACGACCACGCCCTAGGCCATGCCACTGCCCCTGACTCGTCTGCTGACAGCACTCTGCGTTCTCAGTGGCAGACCCGTGATGCGCACGCTCGCTTTGCTATTCGCAACTCCCTGCCGCTAGACGAGCGCGAGCACTTCGGCCAGTGCAAGACTGCTAAGGACCTCTACACCGCTGTAGTTGCCCGCTACTCCTCACCCGCTTCTGCCACGCTAGGCCGCCTCACTCTCCCCTACCTGTTCCCTGACCTAGCCTCCTTTCACACTGTCGCAGACCTCATCACCCACCTTAAGACTAGTGAGGCCCGCTTTCGCGCTGCTATGCCTGCCGAGTTTCTCACTAGCAACCCCCCCCCGCTCTGGATCACTCTCTACCACATCGTCACCCGCCTCCCTGACTCTCTGCGCGCAGTCAGGGACCACTTCCTCTCTCGCTCCCCCACTGAGCTCACTGTTGCCCTCCTCGAGAAGGAACTGCTTGCAGCTGAGGCGAGCATCGTCGCTGTAGGCACCTCTCGTGGCGACCCCCGCACCCCGTTCTTTGAGGGGTGTTCCCCTTCCCCCCTCCTCCCCTCTGTCGCCTCTGCTGCTGCTGTCGACCTTCTTGGTGCTGAGAAGGTCGGGACCGCGTCTGCTTCGAGCGGGCGCCGCAGGAACAAGGGGGGCAGGGGTGGGGGTGGCGGCGGAGGAGGTGGGGGTGGAGGCGGTGGGAGTGGAGGCGCGGCTGGGGAGACTAGTGGCGGCAGTGGGGGAGTGGACAGCGGCGGTGGGAGTGGTGGTGGAGGCGGCAGCGGAGGCGGAGGTGGTCGTGGCGGCGGCAGGGGTGGAGGTGGCCGGGGCGGCGGCGGTGGGGGTGGTGGTCGTGGAGGCACTGGCGGAGGGCAGAGTCAGCAGCCCGCCCCGACGCTTCAGGCCGCCCGTGAGTGGTATGCGCAGCGTAGCGTTACCTGCACGTACGTCATTCGCACAGGTGACCGCAGCGGCCAGCAGTGTGGGAGGCCGCACCCCACGCAGCGCTGCTTCGCGCGCCTTAACGACGCGTGGCGCACTCAGTTTCCTGCTGCCACTGAGCTGCCGCGCTGGGCTGATCTGGAAAAGAGGGGTGTTGATATTTGGGCTTTAGACTTTGATGCTATTCTCACTGCCATGTATGCGATGTCTATTAGTGGAGAGGGTGCTCAGTACTTGCGTGTTCCGCCCGACCCGGGCATTCAGGCCAGTCCGGCTGCCGCTCTAGGTGCTAGTGTGTCTGCTCCCACAGGTCCTGGTGAGGCTGCAGCCCTAGGTGCTCGTGCGTCCGTGCCCCCTGGTACTGAGTCGACTGCAGCACTGCACACCTTCACACTGGACTCAGGTGCTTCTCGCTCCTTCTTTCGTGACCGCACTGTCCTTGAGCCACTCGCTCGGCCAGTTGCTGTCTCCCTTGCTGACCCCTCTGGGGGTCCGGTCATTGCGACCTCCTCCACTGTCCTTCCTTGTCCGGCGGTCCCGTCCGGCACGCTGTCAGGTCTCTACCTCCCCTCGTTCTCTACGAACTTGGTGGCAGGTAGTGCGCTCCAGGACGGGGGTGTTCACCAGTTCACCCCTGCCTACGAGCGCGTGACACACTGCACGTGTGCTCGGACGGGTCGCCACCTGGCTACCTTCACTCGGGAGCCGGGGTCGGACCTTTACACACTGACCACTGAGTCCCCTCAGGTAGCTGCGTCCGCGTCTGCGTCTGCGTCAGGTCAGCTGTCCGCCCCCTGCTCGTGTCGCTCTCTGGCGCATGAGACTGTCCTTTGGCACCACCGCCTTGGTCACCCGTCTGTGCAGCGCCTTCGGGCCATGCACAAACGGGACCTTGTTGCTGGTCTTCCCAGGGTGCTCCCTCCCCTTCCCGACTCGCCTGCTCCTCCCTGTATTCCCTGTGTCGAGGGACGGCAGCGCGCCGTTCCTCACTCCTCCTCCTTTCCCCCGACGACTGCTCCCTTGCAGACGCTCCACATGGACGTGTGGGGCCCAGCCCGCGTCCGTGGTCAGGGTCAGGAGAGGTACTTCCTGATTGTTGTTGACGACTTCTCGCGCTACACCACGGTCTTCCCCTTGCGCGCCAAGGGTGACGTCCCTGATGTCTTGATCCCTTGGATCCGCAGATCTCGTCTCCAGCTCCGTGAGCGTTTCCGCTCCGACTTCCCTGTCCTGCGTCTGCACTCTGACAGAGGTGGGGAGTTTTCCTCTGGCCTATTGGAGGCCTTCTGTCAGCAGGAGGGCATTGAGCAGTCGTACACGCTTCCGGCCTCTCCACAGCAGAATGGGGTTGCTGAGCGCCGCATTGGTCTGGTCATGGAGGTCGCTCGTACCTCCTTGAGCCATGCGGCTGCCCCCCATTTTCTGTGGCCGTTTGCAGTCCGATACGCTGCGCATCAGCTCAACCTCTGGCCCCGTGTCTCCTTGCCGGAGACTTCTCCGACACTGCGTTGGACGGGAGAGGCTGGCGATGCGTCGCGTTTTCGGGTCTGGGGATCCCGAGCTTTTGTCCGCGACACGTCCGCGGACAAGCTCTCCCGTCGCGCTGTCCCTTGCGTCTTCCTTGGCTTTGTCCCGGACGCCCCTGGCTGGCAGTTCTACCACCCCACCTCGCGTCGTGTCCTGGCCTCTCAGGACGTCACTTTTGACGAGTCCGTCCCCTACTACCGCCTCTTCCCCTACCGCACTGCCCCGCTCCCCCCCCGCCTCTCTTCCTCGCTCCAGGTGCTGAGGTACCAGACCCCCTCCCCCCTCAGGGTGCCGCTCCCTCAGGTGTGTCCCAGGTAGACCCGGGTGAGCCTGTCGAGGTAGCTGTTGACTCTCGTCCTGCTAGGGGTGCTGAGCCTAGGGGTGCTGCGTCTGGGGGTGCTGAGCCTGGGAGTGCTGAGTCTGGGGGTGCGGAGCCTGGGGGTGCTGAGCCAGGAGGTGCGGAGCCTGGAGGTGCGGAGCCTGGAGGTGCTGAGTCTGGGGGTGCTGAGTCTGGGGGTGCTGAGCCTGAGCGTGCTACACCTGGAGGAGCCCTCTCCTCCCAGCAGCTGCAGGAGAGGTACCTCGAGTACTGCCGCCTCCGGAGAGGTACTGCTGGAGCTCGTCCCGGTACTTCCCCTCCTACCCAGGAGCTCCCCCCCATTCAGCAGATCCGCGAGTGGTACACACGGCGCTGCAGTCTTCGGAGTGGTGCTCCTGGTGCTGCGGACCCTGGGGGTGGCGCTGCTGCTGGTGCTGAGGACCCGGACGTGGGAGCTGCTGCTGGTGCTGCGGACCCGCCTGGTGGAGCTGCTGCTGGTGCTGAGGACTCGGACGTTGGAGCTGCTGCTGGTGCTGAGGACCCGGACGGTGGAGCTGCTGCTGGTGCTGAGGACTCGGACGGTGGAGCTGCTGCTGGAGCTGAGGACCCGAGCGGTGGCACTGCTGCTGCTGCTGAGGACCCGGGCGTTGGAGCTACTACTGGTGCTGAGGACCCGGCCGGTGGAGCTGCTGCTGGTGCTGTGGACCCGGACGCTGGAGCTCCTACTGGTACTGAGGACCCGGCCGCTGGAGTCTCCTCTGCTTCCGGAGACGCTGTGCGGCCGCGACCGTACTTCGTACCACTTCTTCAGCAGGTTCTTGGGCAGGCTCCTCCTCCTTGTCCTCCTCCCTCCGTAGAGTGTCCTCCGCCTGTCCGGCCGCAGTCACAGTTACCACCTACCTCGCCTCTCCCTGCTCCCTCTCCTTACACTGGTCCCACAGGAGGTCTTACAGAGCGTCGTGAGCCTGAGTCTCGTCCTGCGTCGCCTGTTCGTCCTGCTCGCACTGGTAGTCGTGTCCGTCGTGAGCGTCCTCCTCCTGTCCCAGGCACTCACTACATGACTCTGCGTCCCTCTACTGCTCCTCAGCGTGTCCCTCTACCGTCTCCTCCTGCGTCCTCTTTGCCTGACGTTCCGGACCCTGAGTCTGACCGGTATCGTGCTGAGCACCCTACTGTCACGCGTCTCCTTGCTACTGTTGTCACTGACCCTACCTTTGAGTCCTCGGCTGCGTCTGCTCTGGTCGCTGAGTTGGTTGACTTTGCTGCTTCCTGTCGTCTAGACTACGCTGCTAGCCTTGTCGCTGAGTCTGAGTCTGTCTGTCCTCCGTCCGTCGGGGGTGAGTGTGCTCTTGGCACGGACGTCCTTGAGGACAGGCAGGAGGAGTTCCAGTGTCTTGCTGCTGCTTTGCCCCGTCTCGTGTCCTTGCTAGTTGCCCCTGAGGGAGACCCGGATGCACCAGACATCCCGACCCCGCGCACTTACGCTGAGGCGATGGCGGGTCCCTACTCCTCTCAGTGGCAGACAGCCATGGACGCCGAGATGGCCTCCTGGAAGTCCACACGCACCTACGTAGACGAGGTTCCCCCTCCTGGGGCGAACATCGTCAGTGGCATGTGGATTTTCAGGGTGAAGCGGCCGCCGGGTTCTCCGCCTGTCTTCAAGGCGCGTTACGTGGCTCGAGGCTTCAGTCAGCGAGAGGGAGTTGACTTCTTCCAGACCTTCTCCCCCACCCCGAAGATGACTACTCTTCGGGTGCTGCTGCACATAGCCGCTCACCGCGACTACGAGCTTCACTCACTTGACTTCAGCACTGCTTTCTTGCAGGGCAGCCTGCACGAGGAGATCTGGCTGCGCCGCCCACCTGGCTTCACTGGGTCGTTTCCTCCTGGTACCCAGTGGAGGCTTCAGCGGCCGGTCTACGGTCTCCGCCAGGCTCCGCGTGAGTGGCACGACACACTGAGGACTACACTTGCGGCTCTTGGGTTCGCGCCTTCTACAGCTGACCCGTCGCTGTTCCTGCGCACCGACACTTCGCTGCCGCCGTTCTACATCCTCGTGTACGTCGACGACTTGGTCTTTGCCACTGCTGACACTGCAGGACTCGCCTACGTGAAGTCGGAGCTGCAGAGGAGACACACGTGCACAGACCTGGGTGAGCTGACAAGCTATCTTGGCTTGCGGATCACCCGGGACAGAGCACGGCGCACCATCACCCTGACTCAGTCACACATGGTGCAGCAGGTTCTCCAGCGCTTCCGCTTCACGTACTCCTCGCCTCAGTCCACTCCTCTGCCTACCGGTCACTCGCTCTCAGCTCTGCCTTCGGATGAGTCCGTAGAGCCGAGTGGCCCGTATCCAGAGCTTGTGGGCTGCCTCATGTACCTGATGACCTGCACTCGACCTGACCTTGCATACCCTCTTAGCATCCTTGCACGCTTTGTTGCTCCTGGCCGTCACAGGAAGGAGCATATGGATGCCGCTAAGAGGGTGTTGCGCTACTTGTGCAGTACGTCGGGCATGGGGCTTGTGCTTGGAGGGCGAGACCGAGTTGTTCTCACAGGGCACTCAGACGCTTCTTGGGCAGACGACCAGGCCACTCAGCGGTCGTCTCAGGGTTACACCTTCAGCCTTGGCTCTGGCTCAGTTTCTTGGCGCTCTACACGCTCTTCTTCTGTTCTCGGCTCCAGTTGCGAGGCTGAGATCTACGCTACAGCCATGGCTGCCCAGGAGCTACGCTGGCTGACCTACCTGCTGACCGACCTCGGAGAGCGGCCTCGTTCTCCTCCAGTACTGTACGTCGACAACAAGGCTGCCATTGCCTTGTGTGAGGAGCACAGACTGGAGCACAGAACGAAGCACATCGCCCTGCGGTACTTCCTTGCTCGTGAGCTGCAGCAGCGCGGTCAGCTTTGTATTCGCTACGTGGCCACTGAGGCCAACACTGCTGATGTGTTCACCAAGGCGCTTCAGCCTCGTGACCATCAGCGCTTCTGCACTCTACTAGGCCTTGTGCCTACTGGACCTCACTTGCTTACCTCTTGACTTTGCTTGTACTGTGATCACTATATATATCTATACCTGCATGTTTCCTCTTGCTAGGTTGTGATCACTGTATCTCTTGCTCTGTTATAAACTTGCATGTGAACTGGTCTTGTGACCACTAGCTTGTGCTCGGAATTTGTGTGGAATCCTTGAGGTCCACCCTGAGCTTGTTGTTGCCTTGTTTTGCCTTGACTGGTCTTGTGACCCCTAGGACTCCCCCACTTTGCCTATGGGGGTGTGTCAAACATTATATATGTTGTATTTGTGTAGGCTGTAGTGGGTTAGCCTACAGGGGGGTCACAACATTAGGGTTTCATATTTGTACTCCCAATCCTTGCTAGTCCATCATTCCAGTCCGTTATTTCTGACAGGCCGACAGGCTGGCAGGCAGGCAGGCAGACAAGCCGGCAGGCAGGCAGGCAGACAGGCCGGCAGGCAGGCAGGCAGGCAGGCAGACAGGCCGGCAGGCAGACAGGCAGGCAGGCAAGCAGGCAGGCAGGCAGGCCGGCAGGCAAGCAGGCAGGCAGGCAGACAGGCAGGCAGGCAGGCAGGCAGGCAGACAGGCAGGCAGACAGGCAGGCCTGCAGGCAGGCAGGCAGACAGGCAAGCCTGCAGGCAGGCAGGCAGGTGCTCACCAAAGGCTGGAAGAGCAGGCGCTCGCCGGGCGAGCAGGGTCGGCGCTCGACGGGCGGCGGCCGAGTAGGCGCACGACAGCGGCGACGTCGGGGCCGCAACAACGGCTGCAGAGTAGGGCCGCGGCAGCTGCAGGGCGGGACCGCTTCAGCGGCAGTCGCAGGGTGGGGCCGCGTCAGCGGCAGGTCGGGGTCGCGGCAGCTGTAGGGCGGGGCCGCATCAGCGGCAGGTCGGGGCCGTGGCAGCTGCAGGGCGGGGCCGCATCAGCGGCAGGTCGGGGCCGAGGCAGAGGGCCGCGCGCGGCTCGGCGCGGGCTGCGCTGACAGCGCGCTGGGCTGCTGCAGGCCGCGCGCGGCCGCGCTAGGCAGTAGCGGGCCGCGCGCGGCTCGGCGCGGGCTGCTGCGGGCCGCGCGCGGGCCGCGCAAGGCAGTAGCAGGCCGCGCGCGGCTCGGCGCGGGCTGCTGCGGGCCGCGCGCGGGCCTCGCGAGGCCGTAGCAGGCCGCGCGCGGCTCGACGCGGGCTGCGTGGGCTCGGCGCGGGCTGCGCGCGGCAGCAGCGGGCTGCGCGCGGCTCGGTGCGGGCTGCGCGCGGCTGCAGCAGGCTGCGCGGGTCGGTGCGGGCTGCGCGCGGCTGCAGCGGGCTGCGTGGACTCGGTGCGGGCTGCGCGCGGCTGCAGCGGGCTGCGCGCGGCTCGGTGCGGGCTGCGCGGGCTCGGTGCGGGCAGCGCGCGGCAGCAGCGGGCCTAACGGTCTGCAGGGGCTGTTCGCGGGCCTGAAGGGCGTGTAGGGGCGGCGCGCGGGCCTTACGGGCCTCTAGAAGCAGCGCGCTGGCCTAGGGCAGCAGGAGGCAGCGCTAGGGCTGCTGGACGGCGCGCGTAGTGCAGCACGTCACAAGGCAAGGCAAGGCAGGCAGGTACGTGGGGTAGCGCGGTAACCGCAACGGTAGGTGGGCCCGAAAAAAAAACGGTCCTACGGACCTTAGTGCTCTGATACCATGTTAGAATCTAGCAGCAGGAAATGAATGAACTAGCAGGATGCAGGAGTACAAGTAGTAAACCCTAATTTGGGTTGTACCCCATATGGGCTACCCCACTACAGCCTACACAATAAGCAGCATATATGTTTGACAGCTCGTGCCTTCGCTCATATTTTGTACTCGTTTGACACCTCCAATCCTCTCTATCTCGTTCCGTTGCACCCGTACCAGTAACACTTGGTTATCAAAGCCACTTTCTTTTCGAACCACGAATCTTTGCACCTGGAAATCAACTTTTGATTTTGCTCGAAGGGAATCACGCCCCCGTAGCACCTAGGAGCTGCTGTCCTCGCGTAAACGATGCAGCCACGACCGCGCTTAGACTAAGCTGAGTCGACGCCCTTCAAAATGGCCGAGCAAATCGACGTTACAATGCTAACGCAGGAGCGCTTGAACGAACTGCTGCATCAACTGCACAAAGAAATTGCGGCGCTGACGGCGGAACAAACGTCCCTGCAAAACGACGTCGCACGAGCATAGCAAGCACAAACACAGACGCAAGGCATACACGGGCATACCAAGTAGCAGCAACTGGGGACATCGATCTCGTGGAATGAACGAAGGTGCTACGATACGTGCCGTCGCCGCAAATGCCGCTGCCGCACCGTTTAAAGGGCGCCCGCTTCGCGTGCAATCGGCCGGGACACCGCAAAAGCGAATGCCCGGAAAATGCCAAGGGAAAGGGGGAAGCTGAGCAGCAGAAACAGACCAAGCAGCAGGGAAACGTTGGTAGTCAGTAGGAGACAGGCCCTCTACTGATAGGTCACGCCGCTCGCCCAACCCAACCGACCCTCACCGAGTGATTGTGCCGGTTTACGCTTTTGACCACACCCGGCCAAATAAGAAGGGTACCGCGATAGACAGCCCCATTCTGGTTAGTGGGAAAATCGGGACAGATTTAGTTAAAATCTTCGTAGACGGGGGAGCCAGCCACAGCCTCATCAACACTGCCACGGCACGGAAGTTGAAAGTGCCACTAGACAGATGCTTACCTGAGATCGATGCACGACTGGTCGACGGCATGCCACTGGCGATAGAGGCACGCGTGGACCGAGTTCGGATTCGATGCGGGGGTAACTTCACGTTTAGTCAGGAAATGCTCGCGACAACCGACGACGGAACCAATATTTTACTTGGAAGTGATCGGTTGCGACGACACAATCCGCGAATCGATTGGATGACGGGTGACTACAGCGTGCGAGTGAACGGTAAGATCATCACCTTACCTCGCTAGGGCTCGCGTGAGTCTTCGTCGGTGCGTGTCAATGCAATCACGATGAAACGCGCCGTAGCGGCAGGAGCTGACGTGTATGCGGTTGACATTCGGGAAGCCGAGGCAGCAGACAAGGGGAGTGATTTACAGAAACAGCTAGCCGACGTACCAAATGACTTGGCAGCGCTACTGATGCAGTACAGTGGGATTTTTCCTGATGACTTACCGACAGGACTGCCACCTCAAGGACCGCACGACCATAGAATAGAGTTAGAACCGGGGGCACAGCCGATAGTACAGCGATAGTTCCGACTGACCGAACTCGAACTGGGCGAACTACGGAAGCAGCTAAATTACCTGCTTGAGAGGGAGTTCATAGGCCCGAGTTCGTCACCCTTTGCCGCATGGATACTCTTCACACCGAACAAGATGGGGGGTTTTGCATGTGTATAGATTACCATGCACACTGAATAGGGCTACCATCAAGTCCCATTACCCCATCCCGCAAGCCGACGAACTGATAGGCCAACTGCGCACAGCCCGGGCTTTCTCGAAAATTGACCTTTGAGCAGGATACCACCAGATTCACGTCACCACACCCGACTACCGGAAAACAGCTTTTCAAACACGCTACGGATCGTTCAAATACATGGTAATGCCCTTCGGACTGACCAATGCTACCGAGACCTTTCAAATGACAATGAAAGAAGCCTTCCGCCCGCTTTTTAATAAGTGTGTCGTTATATATCTTGACGCCATACTGATTCACAACCCTAATAGAGCACAGCACCTATAGGACATCAAAGCAGCTTTTAAAATACTGTGTGAGAACCGCCTACTGACCCAAGCGTCTAAGTGTGAGTTTCTACAGGACAGACTTGAGTTCTTAGGGCACATTTTTTCTGCCACGATTCAAGGTTGGCACGCGCCGACAAACTTGACCGAGTTGCATAGCTTTTTGGGGTTCGTCAACTACGTGCAACGGTTCGTCCTCGACATGGCGTAGTTGATTGCCCCGTTGACCAACCTGCTGAGGAAGGGGGTTGAGTACACGTGGGGGGAGAAACTGCAATCTGCCTTCTCGGCCCTCAAGAAAATTTTGTGCTCGCCTCCTGTACTTCACATCGCAGATCCGCACCGTCCGTTTAAGCTCGTCACCGTCGCTAGTGTCATCGCCGGAGAGCAGTACTGTTCCAGGACTTCGGGAATGGCCTCCAGCCGATCGCATACGACTCCCGCAAGCTTCGCCCGCCCGAAAGCAACTACCCGATATACGACCGCGAAATGTTGGCGATCGTGCACGCGGTCTAAGTGTGGCGATGCTACCTCACCAAAGCAGACGTGGTAGCACGAATGGATCACCGATCACTACAATACCTGCGCGCCCAACCGAATCTCAATCCGCGACAGATCCGCTGTGCCAACTTCCACTACACCGTCACGTACAAAAAAGGCGCATCAAACATCACTGAAGCGCTCACCCGCCCAACAGCCCAACTCCACGCCATCCTACTTGCCCAAACAAACCCACTGTTAACAGGCCTATTCACTCATAGATACTGCACCGACCCATTTTTCATGATCGGAAATTCACAACAACTAACAGAAGCAAAGGGAGGCTATTACGTAAAAACAGGCACCTACCGCATCTAGGTACTCGCGTACTCGCCACTGAGGGAGCTGCTACTGCAAGAGGCAAAAAATGGGGTTACCTCAGGTCTTTCTGGGGTAGAAAAAACGCGACAGCAACTGCAGCATTATTTCTACTAGCCGGAGCTATTGATCGACGTACAGCACCACGCGGGGTCGTGTCCTATGTGTCAGGTAATGAAGAGCTCGCGAAAACAAAAGGCGGGGCAGTTGCAGACGAAACCACCGCGCGAACATGCTTGGCAGCAGGTTACCATAGATTTCATCATGGGGTTACCTTCGATCCCTGGGGGTAATGACGTGGTAAAGGATCGTTGACAGACTGGCGAAAATGGCTCACTTCGCAGAGTGCAGGAAATCGATCTCAGCCAAAGAAACGGCTCGTTTGTTCATCGCAACCGTCGTTCAACGACACAGGATACCAGCAGCGATAATTAGCGACCGCGACACAAAGTTTACCAGCAACTTC